CACCCAGCCAGAATCCTCTCTTAAATGACAGTCTTATGACCTACAGTCAAATAAGGTAGGTCAGATAAATTCTTTGTGACCAGTTTTTCCAAAGGCAGGCACAGGGAAAGTTATCTGTTTGTGTTTTACGACTGCTCTTGGGGAAGAGGGATTCTAGCTTCTATGGCTACCCTTGGTAGGAAATGGGACTGAGAGATAGGAGGGCAAGAGAAGGTTAGAGAAAAACTTTTGCTTCCCAGGCCTTTTTTGAGGAGCATTGTTTTCTGAGCCCTAAAAACCTGGAATGGGCAGCAGAGCCTGAGGCCAGTGACTTTAAGCTGAGAGCAATCTTGAGCCTACAAAGGGAGGAGAATGGAGCTCCCTTTGGGGCTTCCTGGGCAGCCTGCCTACCCCTGCGGATGGCCTCCAGCTGCTCAGAACAGCTAAAGGATTGGATTCTGAGAAGCTGCAGTGCCCTGGAAAGCAGGAAAACCACAAGTAGATGCAGCTAGGGGGTTGCGTCCTTTTTGAGATTGTAACTCTGTGTACTTTGGGGCATTTCCTAGACAGCTGCACATTATTGAGTAAATAGCTTTCCTTTTCAAACAGTCTAACTGGCCGCAGGGGAACCCACCTGTGGTTCTCTAACTCTTTTGAAGTAAATTGCTTTTTAGAAACGATGATCGTCAGGCACAGTGGCTCACACCTGTATTCCCAGCACTTTGGGAGGCTGAGGGGGCAGGGTTGCTTGAGCCCAGGGGTTCAAGACCAGCCTGGGCAACATGGTAAGACCCATGTCTACCTCAAAAAATTTTAAAAATTAGCGAAGCATGGTGGTGCATGCCTGTAGTTCCAGCTACTTGGGAGGCTGAGGTAGGAGGATGGCTTGAACCCAGGAGCTTGAGGCTGCAGTGAGCTGGGAGCACACCACTCACTGCCCTCCAGCCTGGGTGACACAGTGAGACCCTGTCTGCACAACAAAACAAAACAACAACAAAAATCCTCCAGGATAGACTGTGATATCATGGGTAAGTTCCATGTCCATTTTATTTGATGTTGTCCTCTCTAACCTGTTCTACTGCCTGCTTATTGAGGGCATAGACAGAATATTTTAATCTGACCGTCTTTTTTTGTAAATACTGAAGATCTCAGTACATTCAAGTGTTTTGCCTTGGGCATGCACAGAGTCACAGGAGGCAGGCTGTAATTTGTATATAGGACGAAAACCTGTGAAGGTCAGATTTAAAGACTCATTAGATTGCCTTCTGGAAAGGGAGTTATGAATTGACAGTTAACATGGGTCAATGCATTAAACTGATTTTTAGATGAGAGTTTCCTGCTGGCGAAAAGGAAGGTCTTAGCCCGACAGGATGGCTCACACCTGTTAATCCCAGCATTTTGAGAGGCTGAGGTGGATGGATCACCTGATGTCAGGAATTCAAGACCAGCCTGGCCAACATGGCGAAACCTCGTCTCTACTAAAAATATAAAAATTAGTGGGCCGGGAGCAGTGGCTCACACCTGTAATCTCAGCACTTTGGGAGGCCGAGGTGGGCGGATTGCCTGAGCTCAGGAGTTTGCGACCAGCCTGGGAAACACGGTGAAACCCCGTCTGTACTAAAATACAAAAAATTAGCCGGGCATGGCGGCGTGCGCCTGTAGTCCCAGCTACTCCGGGAAGGCTGAGGCAGGAGAATGGCGTGAACCTGAGAGGCGGAGGTTGCAGTGAGCCGAAATTGCGCTACTGCCTTCCAGCCTGGGCGACAGAGCGAGACTCCGTTTCAAAAAAAAAAAAAAAGAAAATGAAGATATTGAAGGAGGGAGCATTTCCACATTCTGGAGAAGGGGCAGGAGGCCACGTTGAGTTCCTAGAGTTAAATCTTGAAGTGCCCCTGCCTCATAACCAGGATGTGATCCACTCTGGGTCTCCGTTTCAGCAAAGTCTGACTCACAAGCTTGGGAACGTGTATCACCTTCTGACTGCGGGTTTGTGAACTGCAGGTGCAGCAGGCTACTTATCTCGACTAGTTCAAGTGTTTGCTTTTCTTCTCTTTCGATTTCCTTATAAAATATTGCTACTATGTGATTCCACTTTTTCCATACCTCTAATGATTTTATTCCGTTGTTGGCATGTTTTTGCTTCCTTGGCTGAAAATGAGTAGATTGAGAGATAAGGTGGGAGAAAGTCTTGGCCATGCAGCCAACAGCCTCATCCAAAATTCCTGATCCCTGGAACACATCAGGCCCTTATTTTTATTTATTTATTTATTTATTTATTTATTTATTTATTTATTTATTTTTTGAGACAGTGTCTCGTTCTGTCGCCCAGGCTGGGGTGCAGTGGCACGATCTTGACTCACTGCAGCCTTAACCTCCCAGGCTCAAGTGATTCTCCCACCTCAGCCTCCCGAGTAGCTGGGACTACAGGTACAGGCCACCATTGCCGGCTAATTTTTGTATTTTTTGTAGAGACCGGCTCTCACTATGTTGCCCGAGATGATCTCGAACTCCCCGGCTCAAGCAATGTGCTGGCCTCGGCCTCCCAAAGTGTTAGGATTACGGCCGTGAGCTATCACGCCCAGCCTAAGCCCTTATTCTTGCTGCAGTGTGGCCCGTGTGGCCTCGGCTCCCCTCCTACTCCGAGGCCAGGGAATGGCTCCACTGGGCAATGTGTCTTGGTTTCCCTGCACACACTCGTGACCCCCAGTCTAGGAGGAAAAAGCAGGAAGGTCCCACTGAGTACAGACGGGGGATTCTGCTTAAATGCAGATGTCCCCTGGGAGGGGTCAGGGCACAGCGCAGGGAAGAAGCCCGCCCTGCCAAGGGCTGTGTCTGGAACTCGTTCATCGGTCTCCACTCCCCAGCGTGAAATCGCTTCTTCTGTCACTCAGTCGTCAGGGGGCGGGATCTGTCGCACTATCCTATCAGGGCCGCGGGGCGGGTTCGCGGGAACTGTCAATCAGGCGCCCTGCAAGGAGGAGGGTACGAGGTTGACCAAGCTGGTGGCGTCTTCACGCCACTTCGCTGGGCTCCTGTCTCTGTCGCCGAGAGGCACTCTGGAGAGTCTGTGGCAGCCTCTGTCACACAAGGACCTGCAGTGGTTGTGGGAGCCGCAGAGAGGACCCCGGGACACGGAGGAATTCGGAAAATGGTGAGCGTGAGGGGCCAGAGATCCCGAGACGGGAGGAGGGGCTGGTTGGAACTGGCCGTGGCGGGACACCGGGCTCCCTACCCCGACTCCGGGCTCTGTGGACCGGAATCCCCCTGGCGCAGCTCGGCCCTCGGTCCCCTCGGCCGCAGGGTGGGGCTGGGCTGGCAGCCGGGACCCCGGGCGTCCTGTCCCGTTCCTTCGCGGTGACTGTGGCCCCGGCCCCGGAGCCGTCTCTGGGCAGCTCCGCGCCCGCAGCCCCGCGTCTCCCCATATAATGCGGGGGCCACGGGAGGATCATGGGGGGAAATTCCGACTCGTGTGTGGGGTTCGTGCGTGGAAGGAGCTACGGTCTGAGGTCCCCAGTGCTTTATTCCTTTATTCCTTCTTTAAACCAAATATAAAATTCTAAGCCCCCCAATCATTTTGAACAGATCCCTCCTTCTGGCGAAGGGCGCTACAAAATTAACCTGAAAAAACTTGTTCAGGCCATCATGGAAGGGTGGTCCGTGTATTAGTCTGTTCTCACACTGCTAGAAAGATACTACCTGAGACTGGGTAATTTATTATTTTAAAAAGGTTTTAATTGACTCACAGTTTCACATGGCCTTAGGAAACTTACAATCATAGCAGAAGGGGAAGGAAGGCGAGGCAGTCTTACATGGCGGCAGGAGGGAGACAGAGAAGTCGGGAGCCCAGACACTTATCCAGCAACCAGATCTCGTGAGAGCTCTCTTATCAGGAGAACAGCATGGGGAAACCACCCCGATGATCCAATCACCGTCCAGCAGGTCTCTCCCTCAACATATGGGGATTACAATTCCTGCAAGCAGGCTCTATGGCTCAATAGCCTAAATTGAAAGGATTACAATTCCAGATGCGATTTGGGTGGGGACACAGTCAAACCGTTTCAGCTGGACGTGCCCCATTATACTGGCCTCCCTTTTGGAATCCAGGAAAAGCCTATCAGTATTAACATCAACACAGAACTTAAGTCTGATAAGAGGCATTTACAAGCTATTCTCTCTGAAGTCTACCACCTGGAGGCTTCATCTGCATGATGAAACTTTGGTCTCTACAACCACTTATGGGAAAATCTACCTGTGACCTGGGAACCAGCCCCTCCCCCTCACTTTGTGTTGTCCCTCATTTCCACACGGACCCAATGTACCTCTTACATGTATTGACTGATGTATTATGTCTCCCCAAAATGTATTAATATAAAAGCAAGCTGTACCCCAACCACCTTGGACACGTGTGGTCAGGACCTCCTGAGGCTGTCACGGATGCGTCCTTAACCTTGGCAAATAAACTTTTTTTTTTTTTTTCTTGCCCAGGTTGGAGTACAGTGGCACCATCTTGGCTTGCTACAACCTCCGCCTCCTGGGTTCAAGCGATTCTCCTGCCTCAGCCTCCTGAGTAGCTGGGATTACAGGTGCGCACCACCACGCCCGGCTAATTTTTGTATTTTCAGTAGAGACGGGGTTTCACCATGTTGGTTGGGCTGGTCTCGAACTCCTGACCTCATGATCCGCCTGCTGTGATCTCCCAAAGTGCTGGGATTACACCTTGGGAGGCACCACACCCAACCTAAACATTTTTTTTTTTTTAAACAGAGTGTTAATTGGTTATCCTCTGCTTTCCTCACACATGAAATGTTCATGAACATAAGGGAAAACACTTTTAAAAAGAGCCATTGTTTATGGCTCTTAAGTTTATGCCTCTCTTTTATCTTCCCTGGGCACAGGCACTTTATTAGAATGTCTTTGGGTTGAGGTTCTCCTTTGAAAATTTTACGGGGTGATGTGTCCTCAGCCCATCCTCTATCTTTTCGTGGTGGTGTATTTCAGAACTGCCTGGGCTGGCATAAGGTGCACACAGCAGCTTTGTCTAGGAGGGTTTCATGAATATCAGTTCCTGGTCACTTCTCCCATAGGGAGAGCCAGAGATGTAGGGGTGAGGGGTCCCAGGGCAGAAGCTGGAAGCCCTGGGATGGGAGGAGTCTCCTGGTTTACCCTTCATACCACAAGCAAAGCCCTTGGGACACAGCTCTTCTCACCCCGAGTGTAGTTTCCATTTCATGGAGACACATGCCTGGTCAGCCACTCAATTGCTGGTATTGAAGGGAAAGGATTGAAATGATCCCTGTTCTTTGGATTCTCTTAGCCTAGTTGTTCCCGGACCAAACAGTGGGGCTGGTTATTCTCAAAGCCCAATAACAAAATGCAAATGAACTGGGGAAGAAGATAATTTTTATTTCTGTAACCAGTTATAGGGAGAAGACCTGGAAAATATCACCAGCCCAACTCAAAATTACCAAGTTTTCCAGAGCGTATATACCTTGTAAGCCATATGTCTACATGTAAGTGTGCATTCATCTAAACACATAAGTGATTAACTTCTTCTAATCTATAACTAAGATCTGAGTCCTGAAGACCTTCCTCTGAAACCTCAGTAAATTCATTTAATCTAAATGGGTCCAGGTGCTGGGGTGATTACCCTTATCTTGTCTCCTGCTAAATCATGGAGGTTTGGGGAGTTTCTTAGACTCCCAGTAAACCTGTTTGTGGAGGCCGGGGGAGTTTCTTCAGACCCCCACTAAAGCTTGTTGGGTCCCATTAAAAATTCCTTCGTTATCTTGTCATGCTTCAAGGCTCAGGAAAGGCCCAGGCAAAACTCTTGGTGGGTTTTCGTTACATTCCAGCCTTTGTTTAGAGACATTGGCTGTCTCAACTTTTAATGTTTAACTTGACCACTCAGTCAGTGCTGAAACAGTTGTTATGGAGGCCTGTGTTATTGAGACCTGGCCTGCTACATAGTGAAGGGTAAAAACTGACCCTAAGGAAAGGAAAACCCACCCCAATGATGTGGTACAAGAACCTCAAAAGTACACAGTGCAGTCTCTCCTGGGAGGGTGGTCACTCAGCACTTCGGTGAGCAGCATGGAAAGCGGTGTATCTCAGGTGATAGGAGAACCTGACCTGATACTTCAGTCAGACTTGTCTGTTTTCAGTCAGCACTGCCCCTCCATGGATTTGTCACCTTGAATAAATCTGTAAACTCATTTCAGATTTACTTTTTTTTTATAAAATGTATCCTATCATTAGAGATAGAGGGAAAACAAGAGGGAAGAGTTGGATTTCAGGAAACAAATTACATATTTAGTCCTATATTGCTCTTTTTTTTTTCTTTTTTTTTTTTTTTCAGATGGAGTTTCACTCTTGTCGCTCAAGCTGGAGTGCAGTGGCGTGCTCCTGGCTTACTGCAACCTCCGCCTCCTGGGTTCAAACAATCCTCCTGCCTCAGCCTCCTGAGTAGCTGGGATTACAGGTGTCTGCCATCACACCTGGCTAATTTTTGCATTTTTAGTAGAGACGAGGTTTCACCATGTTGGCCAGGCTAGTCTCGAACTCCTGACCTCATGTGATCCTCCCACCTTGGTCTCTCAAAGTGCTGAGATTACAGGCGTAAGCCACTGCGCCTGGTCTTCATTTTTTAAAAATCTTACTCCCCCCCCCCCACCCAGAGCCTGTGTAGTAAATTTCTCTGTTCTGTTTTTTTATTGGATGATTTCAAGTGAAATTTGAAGGCTTAGCAGAGAAAATACTAGGAGGGAAAATAATTTGAGAAAACCTGTTTTCCATTATGGCTGCAGAAAAAAAAATGAATATATTTTCATGAGAAAGTGTCGGAGGTACATCAATGAATTACAAAGACTCATCAAAACTTCGGTTCCGGCCGGGCGCGGTGGCTCAAGCCTGTAATCCCAGCACTTTGGGAGGCCGAGATGGGTGGATCACGAGGTCAGGAGATCGAGACCATCCTGGCGAACACGGTGAAACCCCGTCTCTACTAAAAAATACAAAAAAACTAGCCGGGCGAGGTGGCGGGCGCCTGTAGTCTCAGCTACTCGGGAGGCTGAGGCAGGAGAATGGCGTAAACCCGGGAGGCGGAGCTTGCAGTGAGCTGAGATCCGGCCACTGCACTCCAGCCTGGGCGACAGAGCCAGACTCCATCTCAAAAAAAAAAAAAAAAAATTCGGTTCCTCTCCTTTATAGGGTAGAGAATTTGGGACAATGGGTTAACTTTTTGTGTTCCTTTTATGTGCACCTGACAGATTAATGCTAAATTCTATGGGAGAGGAATTTGCAACAGCCTAAGGAACTGAAATAATATTAGTTTACTAAACAATTTATTATGGAAGTAGAAATTAAATATTTGTCTGAAATGGGTAGTTACTTAACGCTTTTCCTATTGAGCTATAAAATATAAGTGCCTTACAATTCCCTTCCCTCCTATAAACACAAACACTGAATTGGAGTGATTTTGCTGCATTCATCAAGCATTGGTTTTTTGTTTGTTTATTTGTTTTGAGACAGGGTCTCCCTCTGTCACCCAGGCAGGAGTAATCATGGCCCACTGTAGCCTCAAACTCCTGGGCTCAAGCAATCCTGCTACCTCAGTCTCCCAAGTAGCTGAGACTACAGGCATGTACCCCCATGTGTGGCTGATTTTTATTTGTAGAGATGAGATCTCACTATGTTGCCCACACTGGTCACTGTGTTGCCCACTGAACTCCTGGCCTCAAACGATCCTCCCACATCAGCCTCCCAAAGCACTGGGATTACAGCTGTGAGCCACCATGCCCAGATGACATTTTGTTTTTAAGTATCCATGTAAGGCATAAAAGGGTAAATGAGCAGCCTTGAGGGGCAGAGACCTGAGGCCAGTGACTCCAAGCTAAGGCCAGTTGTGAGCACAAAAAAGATCACTGAAGGCCTAGTTCAGTTGGTTCTTCTGGAAGCCTCTGCAAGTGTCCCAGCCTGATCACGCTGACCATGAGAGAAGCCCTTTGTACTGAAAAGGGCTGAAATTCCACAGGCAGAGCAGTTGGGGTGATGCCCTGTCTGAGGCTGTATTTGTTATTGTTGTGGGGCTGTTACTAGACATTCTCAGGGATAATAAATAGGGATTTAGAAGAAATGACTTCATTCGAAAGGAATGCAAAGAGGGAAAGGGAGAAGCACCAAGCATAAGATAAGCAAACATCTCAAAGATTGGGCAGAAAAGTGTTTTTTCTTTCCAACAGAAGAGCAAACAAGGTGGGAGGGGGAGGGCAGGATGGAGAGTGAAAATCACATCCTAGATCAGAGCGTGTTTTACCCTGCCTTCAGCCTGTTCTTCGCAGGCTGGTGAAGGAGAGGCTGTGTGCTGGCTCAGGCTGAGGGTACTTCAGAGTTCAAGGGTCTGGAGGAAGGAGAGAAATTTAAGCAACGTTTACTTTACAGTATATTGTTCAGACTGATTAGTGAAGTCACAGCTGTTTTGGTTATTTATGAGACAAAGAATGAGAATTTGGTCAGTGTTTATCTGGCCTTGTTATAAGTAAAAAATGGGTATAGTCTAAGTATTGTAGAGGTTATTACAATGCATTTGGCTGCTTGTCCAGAATACCCTGGACTGGTTGGTGGGGAAGTTGGAATAATATCTTTAATCATAGCTATTTACTACAATTATAGGGCTTGGATAAAATTCAGCATCAGCAGCAGTTTCATTTTGCATTCACTGACTTGGTTTAATCAGAGTGTAAGTTGCATAAAATGAGAAATTCTGTCAGGAGCCTATTTAGAGAAAAACACTTTTTGGTTCTGCCTGCTGGACAAAGGGTTTATGAATATGAGAGTTTATTTGAGTCTGTGATACAATAAAAACTGTATTTGGTCTTTGTCCCTAGTTTTGTTATCCCCAACAAGCTCCTTTCAAAGCCAGGCACGATGGCTCACACCTGTAATGCCAGCACTTTGGGAGGCCGAGGGGGGCGGATCACTTGAGGTCAGGAGTTCGAGACCAGCCTGGCCAACGTGGTGAAACCCCGTCTCTACTAAAAATACAAAAATTAGCTGGGCTTGGTGGTGCAGGCCTGTACTCCCAGCTACTTGGGAGGCTGAGGCAGGAGAATTGCTTGAACCCAGGAGGCAGAGATTGAAGTGAGCCAAGACTGCACACTGCACTCCAGCCTGGATGACAGAGCAAGATTCCATCTCAAAAAGAAAAAAAAAAGGCTGGGCACGGTGGCTCACACCTGTAATCCCAGCACTTTGGGAGGCTGAAGCAGGCAGATCACAAGTTCAGGGGTTCGAGACCAGCCTGGCCAAGACAGTGAAACCCTGTCTCTACTAAAAATACAAAAAATTAGCCGGGAATGGTGGTGTGTGCCTGTAATCCCAGCTACTCTGGAGGGTGAGACAGGAG